TAACATAGGAAATCTTATAGGAAAGCAACATGAGAGAAACATCTGGTAGAGCTGCCATCTAAACATAAAAATAAGAAGACAGTGCAGATAAGAAACTGTAGAACACACCACAGAATGAGTTTGATGTTGAGGCTATTCAATTAGTTTATGTAGGGAAAAAAATTCAGAGGAGACATGCTTAGATAAATCTGAATTATTATGAAGGTAAAAGAGAGTTGTAGGTGAAGCACTCAGCAGCCAAACAGCATCTTTGTGGCGTAATGTGAAATGAAAAAAAAAAGGGCAAATTTTACTAAACTGAGTTATTACTTCAAGGTTCAGAGGYATATTCTTTTCCCAAAGGCTCAAGTCTTAAACATATGTGGAATAACTTATTCAATTCAGGATGCTACATTTCAGGAAAAACAGTGACAAACTAGAGGTTATTTGGAAAAAAAAAAAACAGGAAAACCATTAGGTGACTGAAGAAAGAGGAAAAATAATTGAAGAAGTTAAAGGTAAGTCACAAATAAATTATGAAAACATAATTATGCAGACATACCCACTGGAGATGTCTGGGAAACTATTCAATAGCAAAGGGACATACAGTGGGAGAAATCAGATCAACTTACAACAGAACATGGAGAGTACAGATCAGCTAAAGATCCCTAACTGTGAAATATGTCTTAAGGTGGACAAATGACATTGCTTAGCTCCTGTACTAATTAGCATGGAAAAGTGCAAGCAAGTACCCTCGCAAGGCAATACGTTTCTTTCATGTCCAAAGCTATGTTAAGAAGAGCTTTGCTGGATCTTACCTAATGCCCTCCATTTTTTTAGGAACAAGTGGATGATAAAAAACTGATGGAAGTGCCAGAAGTACCCCTTTTCCTCTAGATCAACTGATTCTTCACGAACTACTAGGAGGRCAGTATGCTGAGAATCAACAATTTAAAATGAAATTTGAAACCAAAGTCTTGTTACTTATGGCCAGTGCCTGTGCCACCACAGCATTAGCTTCTTCTTGGTGTCTTGTCCAAACCTGCTGTCGTGAAACTTTTGCTAAGAAACTTTTTGTCTGCATGTTACCAATACCTGAATGATTCTTATAAGCACCATCTGTAAAATGCTGTTCCAGCATAACAGGAAAACTCATTCTGTCCTAAACTGGAAAATCCCACCAGTGTGATAMTGCCTGACATTGAATCTGTCACAGTGGTCTGGGATTTGCGGCATGGTAGCCACAGGCCCTCACAAGACTTTTTGTTTGTATAGTAGAACATGAGGTATTCTCATCTTCTCAAGAAGACCTACTGCATCATGTATTTCCTACTCTGAGGTCCTTTTCCAAACCAACACAGATTCTTTTCAAGGTCCCCAGTCAGATTTTGATCCTATCTCATTGAGATCCACCCACTTTCCTAGCATCCTCCTTCCTCAGACGCAACTCCCCTGGAACCAATCCCACAGAAATAAAACACTTCCACCAGCCAGGATGGCAAGACCACATTCTGTTTAATAACAACTCCATAAAGGTCTGTACATGCTATTTTGAACTACCTCCCCTTCTTAACTGTGGTTGCTGCCACATACAGGCATGGAGGTGTACAGTGTCATATAATTTCCTAAGTCTATATGTAGCGTGTGTACATGTATGTGTGTGTTTGTACATGTATTTATATATAACTTTGTAGAAGTGTTATCTCATAAGTCACATTATCAAAACATGCGAAGAATATCCAACAAAAATTTTCAGGCAAACATGTTTTGGAGCTGGAAGACCAAAGGCAAATCARATTTGAGTTATTAAGGGCTCATGTGGGACAAGGTAGGAATGAAAGCTTACAACACTGAGCCCCTTTCTCTTTCTATTTTACTTCCATTAAGTACTTTCCCCCAAAACATTAATTCAGCTCTGTAAACACTAGTTTGAAAGAATGTAAAATAATCACCATTGAACAACCCCCAACAGAAAATATGCACAAATAAGGGAGAGGCTCTTTAAATTGTACAGCTGTAAATACCATTGTCCCATACCTCGATGTTAAAGCAGTTTCAAACATTGAAAATGCAACATTTGAAGATTCAAACCTTTAGCTACTTTTGAACATGCATCAGGAATTCATCCCCTCTTCCACCCATTGTACCTCCCAAGCTCTTAGTTTGTTCCCTCCCATCTGTGGAAAGAGACAAAACAAGCGAAATCCTGTTCCCTGTAAAATTACTTTTGAGTCCCAACACTACAGTCTCGAGTTTTTCAAAGACCTCCAGTCATGCACAGTACAACAAACTAGAGAAGAAACACTGAAGCCAAACAAGAACATGTACCTGCAAAAGAGCTTTTGGCTTGCCACATTGCTCATGCAAACAGTACCTGAAAAGAAGGGAAGTCCGCCTGGACTCAGCAGAGCTCTAGAACAGGGATTTTGAGCTTTGACCTCCAATTCATGACTACAATTCCATGCCCAAGGAAAATTAGTCCAGCAGGCAAGTGAACCTGGACTAAATGCTTTTATCTCCCTAGAAGTAACATTTGTTGCATGGTCTCATCATCTTCATGATGGAGAAAAACGTTTTTGAAAGCTTTTGTCTGACTAGCATGGACAATTATTTTCTTAGGGGAAAGCAGGAAAACAACTGGGTTTCAGGAGGCATTTAAAATGGACCTGATCAAAACAGGACAGAAGGATGCTTAGTAATAATTCTTTTCATAGAACACAGCAACCCCTTTTTTCCTAAAAGACAGCAGTTATCATCRGGCAAACCCCTTGATGACTGCACCCAAAAAATCCTACTTGAACTACATTTCATAATTTTAAGAAAAAAAAGTCTCTAGAAATTTTAGTAAAAATATCAGTTCTCAGAAAGTCTTGGYCTGTCTGTAATGTTTACTCTTCCAATAATGTGAATCTGCTTTGGCAAAATACATTGCATAGTCTCTTCTAGTCTGTGTTATTTTTTGCAGACTAACACTGAGGATCATAATGCTTCTCTTGATCTGCAAGAGAAGAATTACACTTTGTTATTTCTATGCTGGGATAAAAAAAAAAAAAAAAAAAGTCAGTGCATGGGCAAAATAGACCCTAATATTTTAATTGCAACTTTTCCATGTCCATTTGCTAAAATAGTAGCCATTTAGTCTTTAATCCTATCCAATAAACTCATAAAGCTGTTAGTGCTACTGAGAACACAGTGTCCCCAACAGTCTTGCCCAGGCTCCTTGACATGTTCTGGAGATGAAGAGGGACAATGATATGGCACAGATGTCAAACTGGCTACTTCTGATCCTATGCAGATTCCCTGCTGTTTAATCTGGGAAAAGCCTGTGATATAAAAGAGAAAACTGATGTTGACTTTACAGCTTGCATTCTTTTTTTAGACTGTGCTTTACGGACTGTAGGCTATGCTCCACATACATTTAGTTTTAATAGGCACTGTTTCCCTCACATTTTCCCCATTTTTTCACTTCTTTCCCTGAGCCACAGTATAGTAATCTTTCCCTGACAGGTTGCAAGGGGGAAGTGGGATACAATTTTCAGACTGTTGCTTATTTATACTTTTTTAGATGTAAAAGCATTATCTGCTAAAAACTCTGTTTTGGAATGGATTTGTGTTCTTTCTTTCTTTTCCTTTCTTTTGATATAGCAGTTAGTTTATAAGGAAATGATAGATTGTTTTGAATCATTCACACAAGAAATAAGAGAAACTGAATCTGAGAGAAATTGAGGAAAAGAGTTTTAGATTGCAAGAGAGCAGGAACTTTGGCAAACTGAATAGATGAATGTGATATTGCTCAAGGTTACAAACAAGTCTTGCCCTGACTCCACAAGTTTAGAAGTAACTTTATTTTATTTATCCTTTTCTTTCATTTTCTAGGCAATGTAATAGTCAATTACATTGACAATAGGCAATTTTGCTAAGGCAAAATGAGCTAAATTTAGGGGATTTGGGGGTCCCACTTAAGACAGAACTCACATTAACTTCATTTGGGCAAGCACTGAGTTATTTTGTGGAGTATTTCTTCTAAGAATCACCCAAAGAAGTAGAATTTAAGATGGTGTGAGCTGCATAACTCACTGCTACTTAAAACTAGTAGCTGCAAATTTCTCTGCAAATTCAGAGAAATGTCTGTCCCATTGCTGTCTTACAGAAACATGTGGACATGCCATGGACTAAGGAGTACTAAGACCYGTGTCAGTCCTGGTGCTATAGCTTATGTGGCAATTATCTGCCAGATCACACTCTTCCTAGAGTCTTCAAGGAAGCCTTCTACCCCTTCATAAATATCTTTATGCTTTTATTGGTCTTTTCCACCCAGGCTTCTCCCTCAGTGTGTCTCCCTCTCTAGTTAAACTTTCCCTTGCTATTGAGTGGAGCATACGCAGTTGTCCACAAGTCTGTCTTGTTGCACTGTCTTGCCCCATAACCTGTCTGTCAAACTCTGTCAAATGAAGACAGCAGTTTTCTTCTCTCCAGTCTTCCATCAACCCACAATTAAATTTTACTTTTGGGCAGAGTTTATCACGTGGGCTCTGCCTAAGTGTGAAGAGCAATTCTGAATCTCACACTAGCTTGGAATAGACTTRAAGATATGGATAAGCCTCACCTCCAAGAGACTTGTCCACCTGTAAAATCCCATTGTGTCTCTCACTCTTTCATATGGCTCTGCATCTTGCAATTGCAGAAAAAGATCCATCAGTATTTTCATCTGCTGTGGAGTGTTATCACTGGGCACATATTAATTTTATGAATTCCAAATGCCTGTCAAGTTACCCATCTCCTCCTGTCTGACTTCAAGGGGTTAACTCAGAGGAGCTTGTGGAAGGGGAGGGAACAATGAGGGAAATTACAGGAGCAATAGTAAGAGCAAATAGTAAATAGTAAAGTAAAAGTAAAAAAAAGTAAAAAAAAAAAAAAAAAAAAAATAGTAAGAGCAAAAAACAATAAAAAAAAAAAAAAAAAAGAAATCCTCCACCTGACAAAAAAAAAAAAAAAAAAAAAAAAAAAAAAAAAAAAAAAAAGGAAAACGCTTTGCAAGGGGATGGATGCATTCTCCATGGGAGCTCAGGTGAGTTAACTATTTTCAGCCAGAAATTTCGTGATTGCTTAGGCCATTTAAAAATGCATCAGCAGCCACAGAAGTATCATTTGACATGATCTTCAGTGATGCTTGTCTAGCMAAATGAATCCACTGAAACTTCTTTTCTGGTAGAGGCTTGGGTTAATTTTCAATGGGACCAGTTTCTGGATAGATAAATGAATGTTARTACTGGTGCTACTTAGGTAGCAGAAATATCCAGCTGGTGTGATGCACAGGAGGAGAAAGGACAACTCCTTTCAGCAGTTTAAACTCATCATGAAGATGTCATTTCAAAGTGCAGTTTCACAATTTACCCAGTGTGATATAACAGCCAGCTGCTGCTGAAAATATTGTGTGYTCTCTCTGCCTCCCCTTTTCTCTCTTTCTCTGCAAGGGAGAAGGGTTGTTCCTTCTTTACTTTTACAGCAGGGTTCACTTCTATCTTTGTGACTTTCTGCTGTGGCTTGCTGGGGTCAGTTGTGCATCAGCTTCTGCACAAGCACTCTGGAGAAGGGAGCACAGTCAGGGCAAGCTGCCTCTTTCAGAGCACCTTCCTATCTGATCAGCTGAGAAGTGTAGCTGAACTCTTCTATTTGCTGCAAATATACCATGAAATTCCTAGTGTGGTAAAGAAAAAAGGGTCAAGGGGGAGGCAAGTGGCTTGTTAGCAGCTTCCCAGAGGAGATGCTGATTTAGAGACATAGAAASTAAAAGAAGCAGGTAGATTGACTTCTTCATCCCAGAGCGTGAAGTAATGGGGTTGAAGAGAACTCACAAGGTTTGTAAAGAAAGCTTCAGATTTTTACAAATAAAAGCTTATATAAGCTTCCCTAGGACGACCCTTGACTTTGAATTTTAAAATAAATAAGCAAAATGCTGTGTAGTTTCAAAAATTAACCAGGTCCCCATTTTAATCCCAGGCTCCTGAAGTGAGCACAGAGCAGGGCCTATAGATCTCATGTGACTGAAGAATAGGCAGGGTGCCTAAACATAGAGGACTTCACTAGATTTGGATAAAGAAAGTGAGATCTGATCTCCCCCTGAGTTGTACAGCCATAGGAATAAAAGCATTAACTCTACTTCCTCTCCCACATGACCACTGGAAAAAAGAGGTCGAAGGTGACAGTTAATCCATTGCAGATTCATCAGATTACATATGCAGTCATGTAAGGATATGTTGCAGCTACTGCTACATAGGTATAGGCCTAAACCAGTGACCTAGGAGGGTGCCTCAGTTTCCAAGCCATCTTCTTTTATCAAAGTCTTTAGGATCAAATCTTCCATGTATCATTGAACATTTCTGTAACTTTTATAGTTGTCCTCARCATATGGGAAACATGCAGGCTATACATTAGATATGCAAGATCCCCATCTCCTATGCTCTGTTTGTTCTGAGGCAGTTACTTCCCATGCTTTATTAGGATATACTGAAAGTGCTGGTTCCAATTCTTAATATACTAATCCTTCTTAATTCTTAATATACCAATCCTGCGTTCCCATTCCCCCATCTAATCACTTTCTAGGTTTAAATGCAGTAGTGTAACTGATCAGATATAAGCATCTGGTGGAGAGGAACACAAGAAGATTTTCTTATAGCAGAATCTGCAACCTTTTTTCAAAAGGGTCACTTATGCTTAAGCACGCATTCATATTCAGCACAATAACAGCAGTATCTCCTGTTGAAGACAAAAGCTTTAAGGTGGCAAGAATTAAAAGAAACGAGAATCTTCCATCTCTGCTGCAATTTCCCATTTTTTATGTGGTGTAGCTGTGTTCTACAAAGGTTATGTATAAATTAACAGTAGGGCTCACTTTCTTGGTAACTCTAGATGAAGTATATTCAGCTTACCTTTCCTGCTTATTGCCAGCCTCATAAATTCAGTCTGGGCTCTGAATATTTGGCTGGACTTTCTCCAACTCATCCATCCTCACCAGGATAAAGGAACTGCAGGACAAATTTTGCTTACAGAGCATCTGTGCCTTCCATATGCTTGAAAAGGTGTAGCTATATAATAAAGGCTTTTTCTGGGAAATGTGCRGTAGGTTCCAGGCCCCTCCCTCTGATATCGGTTACTCACAGCCAGCAGGCCTATTACATAAGAAAAAGCCAGGTTATACAAATCATTTTTCCATTTTCGAAGAAATTCAAAACACTTTCCCAGTTCAATTCAGGATGCTCACACACGTAGCCAATGGTGCTCTATCCAGTCAAGCTCAAGGCAACTGGAGAGGCAGATACTTTTCTCTTTTGGATGGTGGAGAGGTCCTGAAAAATAGCTTTTCCCTTTCCCAAAATGAAAAAAAAAAAAAAAAAGTGGAGAAGGGAGATTTTTATTCACAGAAAGGGAAGAGCTGTATAAAAGAAGTCTTATAGAATTTAATAAAATTGAAATTAAAAAGTTTATATAAAGATTATTTTTCAAACCAGTCAGATTAAACAGAGAATAAAAGAGAGGAATCTAGAGATCAGGCTATGGAATTACACAGCAAGACATAATTCTCTATCCATTCCACAGAGATTAGAAAACTCTATAGAAAGGATTTTTCTTGCGATTCAGTGCTGTGGAATTATCTATAACATGGGGGGAGGCTTTTTCTCACGCAGTGTAATGTTTCTCTGTTTCTACCTTGCTTGGAGAAAACATACATCTTTTATCCATTGATCATATATTTCAGTAAAAGTCCTTATATGGAGCAAAGAAGCCCTGGACAATGTGACACACATCCCAATCTTGCAAAGGATATGGAGGTTTCAGCTACACTGAAAGTGATTATAATTGTCCAGATTTGTCCTAATGAGGAACATGGGGATGAAATAGTTCAGAGAAAAAAGCAACAAGCCATCCAAGCCATCACCCACAAATACCAGACAATTTTTGTTTCCCTGAAGTAAAAAAAAAAAAAAAAAAAAAAAAAAAAAATTTTATTACAAAAAAAAAAAAAAAAAAAAAAAAAAAAAAAAAGACAGTAAGAGAAAGTTAACCTCATGTGCTGAGGTGCCATTGACACTTGCTCAAACTTCTCCTTCTAGCTAGCTGGTTTCCTAAGCCCTGCTCCACAGTTAGACCCAAAGGAGTTCAGGACATTGAGCTAGCACTGTGTCTCCATGAACTGTAGGAGATCATCTTCATCRAAGCCTCCTGCCTGGAGGAGGTTAGCACCTGAATGTGTAAACATCTTTAAAGAGATACGGAAAGAGCTTTAAAGAGCTCTCATTCAGGAGAAGAGCTACCTCCTTAGAAAGATGTAGGCAAGGAAATGGGGGGAAAACAAAAAGGTGGTCACAGAAGCTTTTATGTCTTATCTACCCCAAATTATCACTCTTACTTAAGTCTCCTAAAGATGTTTTCCTTTCAGGTGCAATGGAGAAGAAAGACAGATCTGCCTGATGTGCAGTTGGCTGGCAAGACTTGGGAGTTCATGAAGGAGTTCCCTTTTCATATGACCGCATGGGTTAAGTGTCAGAAAGCTGAGTGGGCTAAAATCCTATCTGAGAGTCCCATTCACAGTTCTCATAGTTCTGGACATAATCTGCTTTGCTTGCCAGGAACTGTCTGAACTCCGAGCCTTGAAGATATTACTTTGGTCACATTTTAGTCTCCTCAGATGTTCTTCCTGAAAATACGCTGAGGTCTAAACCTGAATCAAGGAGTCATCCGTGCAATGTATCACACCTGAAGAGAAGGCAAGGAAGAGACAAAGGTATCATGAACTGAACAGAGTAGACATAAATTGGAGTAAGAGAGAAAGATGTGTCCCTGGGATAGTGTGGCAATGTCCAGGCAACTTTCASGTGTCAACTTTCAACTGTCCAGGCTCATCACTGGTATCAGATCTAAACTATGCTTTGCTGAGGCTTCCTTGCAAGTGGTATCACAATTAAAACTCAACACTTGTGTAATCTCTGCTGGTTCTGTTCAGTCCTCCAGCAAAATCAGTAGCTTTATTTTTTTTTTCTTTTTTCTTTTTTCTTTTTTTTTTTTTTGAGGGAGGAATGGCTTGATTTTGCTCCTATTTATTTTCTGATGAAATATCTTGAGTAGAGGTGCTTGGTTGAATTTCCTTTCAAAGCCCCTTCTCCCAAACAGAATGTCTGTAGAAACATGGCAAGGAAGCATAGGAGACCAGATTCCCATTACTCAATGAACCCCAGGCTTTTTTTAAGAGAGAAAAGAGAGASAGCAAGAGAGAGAAACTATCAGTACAAATAGGGAAACTGAAACCAGCTTTCTCTACTTCTAAAGAGAAATGGGAGGGAAAAAGAAATGGAGGATTCTTTATACTGTTTGGAGGAGAAAGAGGAAAATACAGACAGGAAGAACAAAGGAGAAAAAAAAAAAAAGAGAAGAGAAGACAAATTTCCCGCTCAACCCTTTTCCTCTATTTACATTTGGCACTGCAGAAGGAGTAGGAGACATGGGAAAGGTGCAGTATTTGTGATCAGTRATGACTGAAGTATGGGCTTTTTCCAGTATTAACTGCTTTGTTAAGAACACTTACCCAGCAATATAAAAATGCATAAATAAATAAATAAATAAATACTTCCRAGGCAAACTGGAAATTTRTGTTTCTATAACTGTACACATTGTTCTGGAATCTGCTATCTACTCTCTGTGTCTTAGTGCTGGAGAAAGAAAAGACAGAAGGATACAGCAACAGCACCAAGAAGRATATGTTCTGAGTCCCCTGCAAGAGTTAGCTTTTTATGACTGTCTCTGTAGCTGAAAATGTCTTTTCCACTGGCATCCAGTGCCCAGCACCAAAAGGACACATTAATCTGGCCAATTCCTGGGCAGATAGAAATGCCAAAGGGAAAACCAAACAAAAGATTAGAAGTATGCATGAGTATCTGAAAGCAGAGTTAGATATGTATCCACACCCATTCCTCCATGTCACAGTACAGCCATGCCCACAGAGCAACAATATCTGTATTGCAGCATAGCCTGCGTCCATAGAGCGCAGCCTGTATCCACTGAGCCTATAACTTCATACCAAGGTGCTATTGAGGATCTGGTTACAGAGCCAGTCCTTCAACTCAGTACAGCCTGTATTGAATACAGCCTTATCCTCAGCATCGGCCATGATCATTATACCAGTGCAATCTATATTTTCAAAGCCATACCTTCAGTTTTGAACAGTCTATATTCACATATTCTATCAAAAGTGRCTGCATCCATGAAGCAACACTCATTCTTTCAAGATGGATCCTAGCCGCATAGTCACRCCCCATAACAAGCCTGTCTCATCAGCCACATCTCCAGTACCAAAAGAGTTTGTATCCAGAGCCAAAGCTTTGTATTAAAAAGATTTAGAAATGATTTACCAATCCAGATTTCTCCAAGCACCTCATGTGTGTTGCCCAGAGCAATGATACTTGGAAATACGTGTCCATGGTGAAGGGGAAGAAGAGGTCTTCATCTGTCAACCACTTTCAATTTTCCTCTTATTTAAAAAATATATGTCAGGAATGGAAGGTGTGTTTGCTTGGAAGTCTGGGAAGCTGGAGAGAAGAATCCCTGCCATTTCATTCCTTTCCACCCCTTTCTTTGTTTAGCAGTGATGAGAACTTCACAGAAAGCATCAGTTGTTTGTTTCTCCCTCTTCCTCATCAAAGGACTGCACCCCAGAAGAGGTGACATCTGAGACTTTGCGGCTCAGTGCAGCATGCTCCAACTCCTCCCTAGGAGACAGTGATTCTAGGTCCCGGCACACTGCATCATCCTCCTCTGGAGAGGGCTTCTTGTTCAGGAGAGGAGCCTTCTCCAGACGTGGATTCCCTTCGTCCTCAACATGGTCCTCCATATAGGTGCTGGACTCAGCCCCACTCTGAGCAGTTTGCAGGGGCCACACATGGACCAGCCCTGTGCTCTGGATGAAGTTCTGCTGCTGTCGCTGTTGCTGCAGCTGTTGCTGCTGGATGAGACTGCTCTGAATCAAAATGCTTTCCTGAAGGTTTGTCTGGGAGTCATCAAAATTCTGGCCTAAGTATGAGCCAGTTGCAGGGGAAGCAATGAGGGACTGATCACTGGTCTCCCAGGCATCAGATGAACCTAAGCAATACATGCCTTGTGAGACATAGGAATGAGGCCAGCTATCATACTGTGTCTGGGCCATGTGCTCTGCAAGAAAAGGAAGGAAATAACAGAGTTAGACATTGCATCAGGGACAGTTCAGGTGTCTATGCATTGCATTTTATTGTTAAGGGAAACAGAGTGAAGATGAAAGGCAGCTCCCTTTCTCTAGTAGGTATTATACTTCCTAGGTATTACATCCACTRCTAACTGTGAGAGCTGGTTACTCTCCTCAGTTGTGCCTAAGCAGACAAAGTAACTCTGTTAAGGTCAGATTCCTTGAACAGGTCCACAAATAGATGATGCATCTGCTAGATTCCAATCATAAAAATAAAGGCTACAATATAAGACAAGGTGAAAGGGTGAAGAGTAACTTGGCAACAAGAGTAAGAGAGAGAAATTTCAAGATTAATGAGGTGCTCAAGCTCACCTTGGCTCTCCATTAGCTCCTGATAGTTATCAGAATAGTTGCCTGCTGGATTATCCTGATTTGAATTTACACTCACATCCTCACCATCCATTGAGGACCAGGCCATGAGAGTTGCCTCAGAAATGGCAAATTGCTCCATCACTCCTGTGTCAAAGGAGAAAGGGAGAGGATGCAAGGACATAAGGAAGTCTTCACTTCCTGCAATCATCTTTAACCTCATTTACTGGTCATGCTATCCCACCCTAGTCTCAGGAACACCACCACCCACAGTTGACTGTCACCCTCTCTGCTTTGCATGCCATTGGCCATAATCCAAACATGTCTCATCTCTTCTTTTTGCCATTTAGAACACCCCCAGACTCTCCATAGATTTTTTGTTTTTCAGCACTTAGGTCTCTCAAGGATTCTGCTCCATGACATGCCAAACCAACCCAATCCACATGCAGAAAAGTCAGAGCTACCTGCAAGGAAACGGGCCTCCTTTTCGCCGTCACTCAGGTCTGAGTAGGCATCAGCATCTTTGCGTGCCGTCTCATGTGTGTGCTGCTGCTGCTGGCTGTTAGCTTTACCCCAGCCTTGCCATTCAATCATGTGAGCTACACGGCCTTGGCCCATAGCTGTTGGCTTTGTGACATGGTCCTTCATGCTGCGGGATATCCCTAAGGGGCCAGACATTAGAAAACAAGGAGGGGCTATTACACAGCTCCAGGATTGACTGTCACTCTGTGCACCCCTTTTTGGAAGTGGAATTTTCCCTTCCTTTCCTGCCTGGATTCAAGCTTTGCGTTGGATGGAGGAGAGTTTCTCCATCTTTCCTTGGATCAGCTTTCACAAGAAACTCAAACATGAAAGATCCCAAGAATTATTTTTCTTCCTTGCCTACAATGCTTTTAGGACAAAATTGGGCATGAACAGTGAAACCTGGAATTGAAAGAACTACAAAATAGAAAATGGAGTTCTCAGGACAGTTGGAGGGGAAGCAGYTGAAGACATCTCAGCTGCAGTGCATCGTCAAAAGCCAACAGGCAAAAGACAAATCTGTTCTTTGAAGGTGCAACAGATAAGAGATACCTGCATCTAGAACATGTTGGTGTGGGTTGCTCTATGATCTAGACAGAGCAATAGTCAGAATGGGGCAATTAGGAGACCAACAGGAGGAACAATGGGGCAAGCCACAAAGGCATGTAGAGGGAAATTACACAAGATAAACACAATTTTTCAGGACCTCACCAGAGAAAGATGATTTAGCCAAAGCCCCAATTCCATAAGCATTGGAGTTACGTTTCAGCTTGGGTAGGATAGAGGTCGTATCTTCCATGGAGAGCTGAAAAGAGAGAGAATAGGAAAAAATCATATATGAAAGAGGAAAGGAATGGCTTTAGAAGCTAATGAGAAAAAAAAGAAGAAGAGAATGAGAAAAGATATCAGAGGAAGATAAGAGTTTAAGGAATCCAGAAGGTAGGAATATGAAGAGCAGGAGAAAGCAACAAGAAGAAGAACAAAACAGAGGAAGGAAAAAGTAGAGACAATTTAACTGGGACTAGATGCTGTGCAGCTGTGGGACAGAGTAAGGCAAGGTTAGGTGGACAGGCAGAGGCAAGCCAAGAAAAGCCTCCCTTTCACTCCCACAAATCCTCCATGGGCCTGCTGCGTTGTTCCCTACTCTTTYCTTAGAGACACAAGACATGGCTGACAATTAAGGGAGCTTAGAGTGAGAAGCTGACAATGCGCTAGAAAAGACAAAATAAAATGGATTATACTACAGATCTTAATTTGTTACATATATACATATATAGGCTTTGGTGTTCATTTTCTCTCACATTTTTAAAGTCTTAATAAAAATGAGCATAATTGTATCAGGGATAAGCCCTGCTTTATTCAAACACCTACAGCTATGAATAAAAGAAATAAAGTCTACTGTTGTGCTGAATTCCCTTTATGCTCATCCCCGTGTTCAATTTCAATCTCCCTGAATAACGAGGAGAGGGAACCATTGGGAGAGGTACAGTCATAGAGAGGTACATCATCATAAAAACATATTGCCTTAAGACAAATTCCTCAGGCTTTTTCAGAGACGTCAGGCATTGCATTTTAGGCTCCATTTTCACAGGCATTAAAAAAAGCATTGCTTCTGCTCTTCCTTTCAACCTCTCTGAATAACAAATCCACCATGTTTCACACTGGGCATCAAAAACAAAGATACTCAAAAGCAGTGACCATAAACCTGGAAATCTTAAATCCTAACACGAAGCAAGTATTTGGTCTACTGGCACAAACCTCACGAACGCTGAGAGGAGCAGTAATTAGGCAGTCAAACAGTTGGAGGTAAAGGAAGCCAGTACAAAGATATTGAATTGCAAATCATCCCAGGCACTTGTCACACTATGAGAGGAGAGTTTCTCTGCAAACTGAGTGTAAACACAGCACTCTAGACATTGTATTACTTTGGAGCCAGAAATGTCTGAAGTACATTTCTGAAGGAATGAACGAAGTACCCTTCTGAAGGAAGCAGAGAAAATACAGCAGAAAGTGAAAGATGCAACTGAGAATACAGTCCTCATTCGATGACAAGCTTCCTTTGGAGATAAAGCTGCTTAATGAATGTCCATCCATGCCCCCACTGGTTACTGCTGCCTAGGTACTGCTGTTCAGCATCATTAATTTATTTCAAAACAGTCTGGGGGCTACGCTGTGAGGCACCTYGTGGAAATGATCCAGAACAGAAAGCAATCTGCAGGAAGGCTGTACCCTCGGTGTGGAACAAATAGGAAGAGAAGGAAATTCTGATACAAAAGAAGTTATATGTACAAGGCCATAGGGCTTTGTCTATCTTACCTTTAGCTGAACAGAACTGCAGTAAGGAAAAACCARCCAAATTTCTCCTAGAGAGTAGCTGCTTGCACTGTAATTTTCCTGTGCAATTTGTTTCTCTAACCGAGCCCAGACACAATATTCCAAGCCATATGAGATGTACAAGATTAATGAGAAATGTAAGTCTCACTGATAGTCAGTGGTCCAAATGTTGTGCACCCAATGAGAACCACAAAAAATGATGCTCATTTAAAAGCTTTGAAAGTAGCTGGAATTTGAAAATGTTTATACCTCAAAAATGCAGCCTCTGATCCTGCCTTTCAAAGTGGACAAAAATGTCTCTGGTAATCTATATGAAYTGAACATTGTTAAATAAAAAGCAAGGTGATAATTAGCATTGTATGAATTTAAGTGAATGCACTTTTTAAGTTTCCACAGCAAAAAAATATATGGCAGTACTAATATGTGATGTGCCTTTTCAGGATGCTTTTTTATTACTAAATGAAAAAATAACTTTTAGGTGGCATAAGTATTAAGAGCAACTAGGAACACATTTTATTAAAACTTTAGCTTCCTCTGCTTATTAACTAATGCTAACTGGCACTAAACACTCTCCAAGGTATATCAAAACTCCTTTACTTCTCTATGCAACTGAATATGAGGGATACATCTCTTTCTAACTCATAAAGAAGATCAAAAGATGCATTAGTCAAAGACTAGCTATTGTTTAAAGATGATGGAGAGACATCTTTTTTATTTAGCAGTGCCCAGAAATCTTAAAGAGAATATCATAAATGATACACATATACCTCATAAGAGCCAAAGGCAATTTAATAGTCACTTATGGATTTAAACCACTACAAAATAGCCAAACATAGAGGCAATCAAAAATCCATCAGCATCTCCTGAACCCTAGGCAGTGAACAAAAGTTTGGTAACACTGAAACCTTTCAGTCAGATTTCCATCTTGGTCTTGATTACATCCAATGGCAGAAAAATCCTGGGCTTTCTACAACTAGAAAATGAACTGGAGTGTAGTGTATACTCACATTAATACCATCCCAAGAAAAATCTGTCCGTGTTTGCTAAAGAAAGAAAAGAACAACATCATGTTAGTGTAATAAGCTGCATACTGTCATGTATATCTCTATCGGTTGATCATAATCATCAGTCATTTATTTAGCTGATACATTAAAAGCTGTCGTCTGTCAAGATGAAAAGCTTGGCTTTCTTCCCTGCTGTTCACTGTGCTCTCTGTGAGTATCATGGCATCTGTAGGCATGCATGGGAATAGGGTATTATATGGGAATATATAAAAGAATTCCCACAATATGGGAACATCGCCACTCTTAGTGGAGAGACCAAGAGTGAGGGACAAACAAAAATACATTTAGGTAGGAATTCTCTTCACTTACTAACAGTTCTTTGTTAAATAGTACCACACTGGCATGCTTCTGTGGGAGGTGCATCCCTTGGGGTTAACACAAGGAGGAGCTAGACTACCTGCATGTTTTGAACATAGGGGGTTCAGTAAAAAGTTACAAAATAATTTTCTCAGGGAATAATTTTCTTCCACAGTGTTTCAGTTTTGTCAACTCTGACTCAAGTTCCCTTTGCAAACCAGATCCAATTTCCATAACAATTACATTACAAACRATTAATTAAGCATTTGCCTCCTTCAGCTAGGAGGACTCACCTCGCAACTCCCCGGTTTTGGGATGTGAACATCCAAGGAAATTAAGAACATTCAGTTACATAAATTACATCCACATAAATCAAAGGGATATTAAAAGCTCCAATATGAGCGCTCTCATTCGGGAGTAAAGAGGCCTTAGATATTTTACCTTAGTCCTTTGATAGTACCCATACAGCTCATGGGAGGTAGAGTTTATGTTCATTGACTTTTAGATCTGCATTTGATTTGATTCCATGCCGGGCTGTGCCCCACCATTTTCCCCAGGGTTCCGTGAAACTCCAAGCATTACAGTTCAGAAAGATGTTATGAGGAAATGCAAGTGCTATTTGTGAGTTGTTTGTGAACTTCATTTGTGTTTCCCAATTTGTGTTACTGATTCAAAGTAGCTTTGATCTTTTTCCTAATCATGCATATCCTCAGACTTGCAGACCTGAAAATTCAGGTATCTAAGACTACAGAAATTGCAATAATTCAAAACAGGAAATGAATCAGCCTTTGAGATGCTGCATAGTAAATCAATTGGCAGTGAGTTGATAGTGAATGGGTCCCTAAAAAACAAAACAGAGACAAATGTGTTCCTTCAGAAGATTGTAAAACTGTGCTGCAGAAGCTGGGAGAGCCATAGTGCTGGAAGTTTCAATGAATACAGTGCAGACCTAAAGGATTGTCAGAAATATGAGATTTTTTTTTCCATGTTCTGGTCCACCCCACTTTTGAGAGATTTTAAGAGTTTTCCTTCAAAGGTTTACTCAGTTTCAATAGTTCAAAGTGAATGTTTCCACTCTTCAACACAAGTCAACACTGACTTCCTGATCCTCTCTCAGACAATGCACCAGTGGTGCATAGCTCTCATTTCTGAAATCAGTAAGAATCAAAACTTCCCTATTTTCCTGTGTAAGTGGCTGTAGTACAGGAACTCACCTCAGTGGAAGGTCGATGGAAGCTGCTGCCATGCAGAGAACTGGTGCTGTCCATATTGATTTGGTCCACATCTTTCAGTCCTTTCCAGTCTACTGCAATGACCTCGTTTCCTACAGAAACATATCTAGTCACATTTCTCGATGCGACTACAATGGGTTTTATCAGTCTTAAGCCAGGTCAGCTCAGCATATTGGAGAATCAACTGAGTTTAAGGCCACAATGGCCACCTGGAGCGCTTAATCACATATYCAGTGCATCCTTAGTTATTACATATCACCCTGTTATCTTCATGTCAAGACTGGTCATGTGTCATCTTCTCAAGCATAATGTATGTCTGAGTAAAGCATAACTCCCAGAAGAAAAACATTTAGTCATGATGTGTGATTGAGAAATAATCACTTCTTTTGATATCCTGTTCTAGTATTAAATCATCATCACTTAAAAAGGCATTTCTCCTTTCTACTTTGAATTGCTTTGGCACCAGCTTACAGCTGCTGGTCCTTGCTTTGCCTTTCCCAGCAAGATGAAAGAATTTTTTAATATCTGTCATTACATTTCAGGAAAGTTATTCATACACTTACTTTTCTTCTTGACAAACTAAACAGACTGAGACCTTTARGGTTCTTACTGTTGAGCATTTTTCTACCTTCCTCAATAAATCTATGTCTCTTTTTAAAAGCCATCTCAATTTTGTCAGTTCTATAAAATGCAGACATAAGAATGTACATTTAACTGCAGGACTGATCTCATCCCTTCTGTCAATAAAGTTAGAAAGCACTTACTTCTACTGATCACATCAATCCATTCTAGTATAACTTTGCGGTTACATTCACATTCAGCTGTTTGTTCACTGTGATTTCCTAAATACTTTGCACAACCATTGAATTTATATTAAAATTAAATATTATTTATTAAACTAAATAAATTAAATAATTAATAATAATATAAAATAAATCATTAAAAAATACATAAGAAATTTTTTTAAAAGCAGAACTTAATCCAAAGCAGCAGTCTTTATACAAAGTCAGCCAAGGAACAGGGACTCCCCTGTACAACTGCTCTAACCAGATAAATATTTATTATACTTTTAGCTCTTGTGTCATCCTCAGACTCTGTTAAGTGATTTTATTCCTATTTCCATGTTATGGAGGAAAAGCTTGTATTGTACTTAAAACTGAGTTCTTTGAATTTGGCAAGAATTTCAATACCAGTAATGATCACCTATTTACAAGTAATTCCAAGGATCTATTGAGCAATCTCTAGTCTATTTGACATACATGATATTGAATGTGTATGGGGCTAATTTCATCAGCTTTTAGCTTTTTTATTTGTACTTTATAGGATTTTCATCTTCCCCAAAATTTAGAAATCATCCTGCTTGTTCCTGCAATTCTGGCACACTTACACCTGCTCATCGCTACACTTTCAGTGGAGAACTTCTGATAGGCAAAAGATGCTGCACAACACTCAGCCCTACAGAGGCCAGCAGGAGATATACAGGGGTGGCAATTCTGAGGCACTCCTCAGCTGGAATCCAGAAAGCAGAAAACCAATTTGGTGTTAGAAAGGCTAAACAGGGTGATCTGAAAGCTACCTGAAAGCAAATACTATCTGATTCGATGTCCATCGCACCTCCTCTTCTCCTCATTCTCAGCTATGCAAAAAGATCTTATTTTCTGGAAAAAAAAAAAAATCAGGAGATATTTTCTCTTTCGCACTTAAAATACGTTTTCTGTTCATGAGGGTAACTGGAACTGAGTATTTTAAAGGCACCTCCCCCATATGCCTCTGACTGAGCAGTGTAAAGCGGAAGCAGTTCAGGTAACTCAAAAAGAAAAAGGAAATTATGATATTGTATGACACTATTAAGATGTACATTAGAAATCAGACACAGGAAATCAGACATTAGAAGTCCGACTACAGGAGAAGACCAGGGCTATGACATGATGGGCATGATAAAGACCACCTCACAAGTTTCTGATTCTCCTAGCTTGTTCTGAGCTCAATTAATTACTACAAATTGTGATTATTGTTAATTGTGATTAAATCATGAACTCCAGCCATAGAGTTGCATTAGTATTAAACAGGTCAGGTTTAGTATTAAATCAGGTCACTTGGCTCCTATTTACAAGCAACTGTCTTTGCTAGGCTTAGGAGTGCTTCAAACTGTGCATAGGGTCATCCCAAGAAGTCTGGAGACATCTCCACTCTAACCAKGCCAGTAAATTCCTAAGGATGGGARAAAATCATCGAAGTTTTCTCTAAATCTTAGAACAGAATTTATAGGCATGGAGGGACTATTCCCTCATTTCTACTGACTGGTGAGTACAGCTGCAATGAGCCCACYTTAAACCCTTAAACAAAAACTTCTTTTACTATTTGATATTGCCATACAACATCATCAATACCTTAAACCCAGCCTAAGGTTATATTTTGGCATCCCCAATTAGCAGCATTTTTTGTTTGTTTGTTTTGTTTTGTAATGCTGCGGAGGACTATGACTACCTGAAACCAGCAAAAAGAGAGAGGAAGGTTTGGGATGTGCTTGGATCCAACTGAAAGAGGCAGGGCCTTACTGGGCCACCCATGGGCCTGTTCCCACTGCTGCAGGAAACTTCTGGGACKAGGGTGTTTAAAATCAAAGCTATCCACCTTCTAGGGCTAGGAATATCTCTAGAAAGGGAAGTATCTCATAGAGCCTTATGGTCACAGTCTGAGACGCATCTACTGTAAGGTCCATTGATGCCTTAAAGTAAATGTTCTTGTTGTCCCTTGATCACAAAGAAGTAGAGGGGAGATGTGATGGAAGGCCAGATAAGAAACACTTGTAAAGAGGGGCAGATGTAGTTTGGATACAGGAATGGGTGAAAGGATTCAAAGCATTTGGGGTAAGGTGAAGAGGCAGAGAGGTAAGTCAGTAGGGGCCTCAAAGTGCAGTTAGGAGTAGGGATGGTGGCTTGGGAAATTTGAGTGGGCATGGGTTKCTGGGAAGCACTGAGGAACTACAGAAAGTTTTGATTGAGTAGGTCTGTCTCCTCCCATTCGCCTTGACTATGTTTGCTGGGATCCCATTGGCATCTTCCTACATAGACAATCCCCAATCTTTTCCTGCAATCTCCCGCCTTTCAGTGACACTAGAAGGGGAGGGCTGGAGCCTTTCTGATGAAAAGCTAATCTAGACTGTGATACTAGAGAAGGAAAGGATGCTTTCATGGATGCTTTCAATACAGACAGCAGTGCCATGGCCATTTTACCTACATTTATCCTAGGTTTCTTACTTTCAGTTGCTTTTTAGTGCAGTGCTGCAGGCCTCCCTAGACATACAGGTAGCCACCCAGGCACGTTCAGCATGCAGTACAAAACTGACTGCAGCACTGTTTTGCACACTGCAAAGACCTAGGGAGTGAGAGTGATCATCAGGAAATTTGGTGCTCAGTGTATGCAATTTGATAGCCCCAAAGTTTGGAGAATAATGCTCAGTTTTTGCTATCGATACTGTTAGTGCAGTGACAATTTCCAGGAAGTCTGAGATGGTGCAAAAACAAATATTGTTCTGGTACATGGTAGCATCAAATAGCTGAAACAAACATTAACATCAATCTCTTATCTGTCCAGAAGTCCATACCGGTTCCATAATAATAGAATTAAAGGCCTATAAATACATGTACTAAACAAGGGAAGAGAACCAGTAATGCATAATCTTAAATATACTATGAGGACCAACTAACTATTTAAAAGTCTTGCCCTAAACAGTTTCACAGATACTGAGGAATAAGAAATATGTTGGGAGAAAATACATGTTTAATATCTCTTATTTAAATTCTTTTAAATGCAAAATACAGGCTGAACAGTTACAACACCCTACACTGTGGTTAAGAAAGAAACCTCTGGGCTCTAACTGGCATTGGTCTTGGGGCAATGTTACTTTCTCTTATTGAAAGCTGGATACAGGTTGGGATTTTTTTTTCTAATCTGCTCGGAATTGCCAGAGCAATATCAAACTAGTTCAGCACCAACAGATGGAACAAAATGCACAAGAAAATTCAGAAAGAAACATGGAGAGTAAAGTGGGGAAATGAACTGAAAGAAGTACACTRTATTTTAGTATTGTATTTATCCATCATCTTGTCAAAAATTCAACTGCTATTTCTCTTGGCATTACCTCTGTTCAGTCTCTTCCTTCTCCATTCTGTCTTCTTAGCATTTAAGCCATATTCATCTCATTCTCCTTCCACCAGTGTATTTTTGCCTTTTGATATTACATTTCTTCTCCAGTATATTTTCCTTTCTCCTACACATCTTCCATCCCGGTTTCTCTTAAGCATTATGTCTATGCCATTTGCAATTCTATCACCAACCACCTCTTACAGAACAGGATTTGCTCCCCTGTGTACAGAACTGAACTGGGCACTCTAAAGCATGAGTGGGTCATAAAAATAAATTTAAAGTGAGATTTTTGCTAATATATTACTGAATCAATTTATTATTGAAATGTTCTGAAATGAGATAATCAAAAGAAAACTGAGTTTCTGATTTTCYTCCCATTGTTTCTACATGGCATGTATAGAAATAATGCAAAGCACTTCATTTTTCTCTGCACTTAAAGATTGATTTTTTAGATTTCATTATTGTTTTTCATATCCAAAATTCCATCCTTGCTCTGGAAGACTCAGCAGATGACTGAAAAAGAAGTGGGGATTTAATTACAAAAAGCAGTGAAACAAGACCAAAAGAATTGAAATATATAAATACATTGAGCAACATTGTTTGCAGATTGTAGTTGCTTTGTATTTTCAACACAAATTTGATGAAAAAAACTCTGACAAATCATCAGAAAAAGCTATATGTTAGCTTCCAATCACAACCAGCAAATAAATTAATATTCCACCTCAAATCCTCTAAGTCTTCAAGGAAAAAATACTCTCCCTTACTGTTATAGTACTGTAAATGTAATTTTTTTTTTAACACAGCCCTTTCTAAATCATAAAAAAGAAAAAAAAATAATGGAGAAAGTGTCCAAATTCTTTATTCTCCATTTTTATTGTTGTTCTTTTTGGCCTGGAGCTTTTTTTTGTGAATCTATAACTATGGACTCACAAAATTAGAAAAT